GTGGTCCGGAGTTTTGCAAATATCTCAGCATTTCATACGAGTTATATTTCACAACATACCCTGCCATTAAGAAGAAAAAAAAAGGCAGTAAATAAAAGAGTTAAGATTGCAAATACTTAATGTTATTCCTTTCTACGATGGTGTAACACTGCGCTCGGATTATTGGGTTGGATAGCAGCACAGATAAAAGTTCGGGAATAATGAATGAATGACCTTTCCATAAAGCGTTACAGTTCCAGTTAAATATAGTCCAAGGTATCTCGACACGTTGAGGTAACAAATTTATTGAACCGCGGAAAGAGCGAGGTAGTCGTTGAGACCACCTTGTTAAGCACTGGCCTCGGTCACGACTTCGATGCAAATTGTCAACGTCATATCGATAAGTTGCATTATCTGTCTTTCTCCTAATCGCATGGTGTGGTGGTGAACGCGTTACTCCCCGGAAAGGATAATAGCGCGTTCGTTCCCCACCATAGACACCTGCGGTCCAGAGTTTTGCAAATATCTCAGCAACGTTGTGGTTGTATTTCGCTTAATAACCTGCCATGAAAATTATAGAAGGCAGAAAACAAAACGTTAAACATTGTGATTTCTCCTAATCGTTTATTAATTCGCCAGCTGGTGCCGGTGAAATCTCGATTTGTCACCGCCGTAGGCAAGAGCACCACAATGAAGCCTTGTTTGTTAGAAACTCCCTTAGACTCGAACCTTCGCGAAGAATTCTTATCATCAAGCCGGTGATTTTCATGCTGTGCGCACAGCGCTACGAAATCTCAACGATCGGCTTGGTAATCGGCTCAACTCGGTCAGACTATTAGACTTGAGGCCGACAGGAACAAGAGCGGAGCTTCGAGAAACAACTTTCTCCGTATTTTTGTTGAGCAAACGCAAGGTGTTATTATTCTTTATTCAGCTGGAAAGTGACAGCTGCCGTTGTATTACAGTGTGATTTAGGTGGGATCATAATCTATTGCGCATTAAGATGTGGGCTGTAGAGTATTCAAAGACTTGAAGTGGATGCCACAACAACTTGATGTAGCACAGTAGTGAGGGTCCGTTTTTTCTTTGACAACAATCAATGGTATGAAATTAATAAATTCGCTTTGAAAGCAAACGCGAAGCTGTCAATACTTCAAAAATCTGCCACTTAGAATTCAAATATTACTGCCTAGGTCTATTAAAAGTCGGCATTTCGAACTTCAGTTTTTTTTCTTTGCTAGATTCTACATCTTGCTCGCTTTCATTAATAATCCTCATTAACGAATAGGCGCATGTGGCGCAGTGGTCGGAGGCACTAGCAGCACTGACTCGGTACATCGGTCGGTAGGCGAGTCATTATAAAGGCCAGACATGCATTCAGTCACCTCCAACGATACTTAATGAAGTCGAATGCATGGCACACCCCTCAGGGATTGATCAACGCCGAGAGCTTTGTCCTTAATCCATTAACGAATAAGGAGTACTTCATAAATATTGAAATGACGTACCGATCCTACATAGGAGAATGCAGATTGATAGTCGGAATTCCTCTGAATCCAACGAGAAACGTCGAGGAGGAATAGTATTATTTGTCTGCAACGACAAATAAGAACATAAAACGAGAATGTAGAATCGAAACGAACCTCCATAGTGGATACAAATGAAGCAATCCATTTATTGTACAATAAAGTGCTAGGACTTTGTTTCTTCCGTTATAGCCTAACGAGTACTACTTTTGCAAAAATAAAGTTTAACAGCCTATTCGACAACTTCCTGTGCCTAAGTAGTTCATCATCGTATCGCAGAGCGGTGTCGAACAAAGGCATTTGGGCTCATTAAGCAATAGGTGACCCGATCTGAGCAGTTCGACATTTCTAATGAAAGGCCTAGATAGAAAACCAACGACAAAAAATACTGTATTCTTGGAAGAAACTTAGCTGGCTGCAACATTTCAAACACCCCTTCATTTCAAAAAGAATGCACACTTCTTGCTTTAATGAATGACTTTCCGTGAAGACAGCCAATTCAAGTATTGCTCGGAAGAAAGGAACTAATACTGCCGTCGATAGCACCACCTTCGTGACATGTAACCTCGTTAGTCATCGAGTAACTTGAGCTGGAAGCAATTGGAAATTCTATTTACTCCTTTAGCAGGCATAGCTGCTCAGTGAGCTCCCTTAGCTCGAACGATGCAGAGTTCCATAAATTATTGATCTGCCTTTATTTTCACTGTCGTTGGCGAGGAAATAGGCACGAGTACCACGTCGAGTTCTGTAATGATATACGTCTCGTTCTAGACGGACTTCCTTTTGTAAATTGCAGACACCACAGCGTGAAGAAATCTCGTCGAGGGATGGACCACCGTTGTGTACATCGCCATTCCACCCCCAAGAACATTTCACTTCAAAAGTAAAGTGATAGCTCATCGAGCAGATGAATACTCTAAGATACCACTATCATATTTGGAGGAGACTACAACAAACCAGAATAAGTATTGTAAGCCTTATTTGCTAGCCTTACTTGTTGACTTTTCCTAGACACTAGTGTCTAGTGTAATACACTAGTGTGGCTCGCGAAGTCGTACGCGATAGCAACTACCACAGCTAGCGACTGAATTGTGTGCCGTGGAAGCATGGGTATTGAGATGATAGCTTCTTTTTCCGTGTTACGCCTAATTAACTCACATCCTCTGCATCTATGTAGATCTAGCCATAAATGCTCACATATTTTCGGATTATTTCTTCACATCGATTCGGGAGAAAGAATGAAATCGAATGATTAGATGGGACGCTGGATGCAGCTTAAGATATCTCCGACTAAAACGCTTATCTGTTTTGAGAGGAACCGACAAGAAATAGGAGTGCCCTAAAACCAAAACACTCAGAACGAGGGCTTCATTATCTCTAAATCATAACGATTCAATGACAAATAAGAAATAATAAATAAGAACTACCAACGATAACAACCTGTGAAGACAGTGCACGCATTCCAGCTTCACAAGATTCCATAACGTTCTGAGAAAGTCTTCTAATACGACCTGCTGTCTATTATTGCAATAAATATGGTATTGTAGAGCTGTTCCACAGAATATGTGAAAGTAAAAGCATTCCTTCCTATTTTTGTCGAGCAAACGCGAGGTGTTATTATACTTTATTCACGAATAAGCTAACGTTTCGGCGGATTTCGCCTTCCTCAGAGCCGCTTTCTATGAGGTTTCCACTGAGTATGTCACGTAGAGACCAACCGCACAGAAATCACATGGAAGGATAATGTGACATTAATAAAGAATAAAGAATAATAACACCTCGCGTTTGCTCAACAAAAATACGAAGAATTACTTGATCAATGCCGAGGTTAATAGAAAGTCGGTCGTGGGAATTACTAAAAGCATTCCCATAGTGGACGCACAGGTGAAAAGATGAGTTCAAGTCGTCAATTCGTTTTGAGTGGGTGGTGGAGTGACTGACTGTGACTTGAGTTGGAATTTAAAAGGTGTGGGCTAATACAAGCTTTGACAGAAATCCTCCTCTAATACGTAGCAGCAGGCTACAATGAACAATAATAGATTTCTTGCATACATACGTTCTTGTGGTCTTGGAAAAGAATGCAGTAGAACATCTGAAGAATTTCAAATCGAGATTTAAGAGTGGATTGAAACTAAATGGGTTAGAGGCTACTTGTGTTAGCCATGAAGAGCAATGCCATTCATTCTTCATTTGGAGGCATTCCTTACGATATTTGATGCTTGCTCTCAACAAGAAGTATGATAACCAATTTGGAAACATCACCATCAACCGAACATTTCCACAACTGTTCTGGAGCGGATTGTCATCATATTCGTGTTAGGATCGCTTTGCTAGAATGGGAGAAACTCAAAAGTTCAAAAGAAGCCTCGATACACTCATTCGATAGGAATTCTCCTACTTTTTTCAGCAGACTCTCGTGCAATACAGCTATAGATAGTGGAATGAGGAATCACACTTATTCATCCTACTTCCTCCCGACAATGCTTAGAAAACCGAGAAGTTGGAAGTCAATGAAAGACACCCTCTGTCAGAAACCCTCAAACTAATGCGTAAGCATTGAGCTGTACGAGACACAGGTAAGTACAACCTTATGTTTGTTTTCAAGCTATCTTAAAGAGAAGTTGTTAGTAGCATGAGTTGAAGCCACGGGGAAACAAACTTGTCTAGTACACCTACCATAACATCGCTAATTTTAAATGTGTTTAGCAAAGACATTCCCATACGTCCAAAGAGGACAGTTAGTGGTGGGCCTCGACACATGTTGCTTCTTCATACTGAAGTAATCCCTAGATAATAGTCGTGAGATTCCACTGTTTCCACCGCGAACGACGGTAAGACAACTGACCTCACGATCAGAGTTTTCTCGAAAGCCCTGGAGAAGAGATTTGATTGCCTTAACATCTCTCGAGATAACGTAGTCAACTGGATAAACAAACGATGTGGAGCAAGCAATGAGAGAGAAAGCGCCCGTTTTCACTCTAAAATTCAGCCTCAGTTAAATCCAGAAGAAGTCTGTTCTTATTTGTTCACATTAATGCATGAAGTCTATAACCCTGCTAAATTTCTGCTTAAGAATGTCCTTCGCCGCGCTCAGAAATGTCTTCAGCGAGTCCCTCGCTTCTCGATTGTGACACGGTATCAGCCAAACACTTTCATTACCTCGGCGACTAAAACTCAATTTCAATCTCGTGTTTTCTCATTAAAAAAGGAAGTGAATTACAGCTACAAAGGTTAAACCCATATTAATATTACCACCAGTGACAACTTTCACTTTCCATCTTTACTCACGTAAAGATAAGAAAAGCACGTGTTGGGCAGTGATTAGAGCTCCGCGTGTAGCCGACAATACAAACATGTTCTCCAGTGCGATCCCACGATTCCTGGCTCAGCAAGCCTTCCATCCCTCTAGGCTTAGCAAATTGGTAATAGACCTGTCTCGGAGGATAGCAGCACTGACTCAATACGTCGGTAGGCGAACCCAAGTCATCATATAGGTCAGGTGTGCATTTTATCCACCTTAACGATATTAGGCAAAGTGGAATGCATAGCACTTCACTCAAGGATCTCGCCCTTTTATTTAAGTAACACGAAATATTGTTTAGTTCGATCATGACACAGCTTATAAATACTTGCAAGTTCCTTCGAATCCGTTATAAACCTACGTTTCCTTTGATTCTCACGTTTGTAGCGGCGACAGTTAGAGATAGGAACGTTCGATAATGCTGAATCAGAAGTTCTCGTCGCTCCTCAGGCGAACTGAATGACAGCAACACCGACCGACTGACAGCAAACATCGTGACGATGAACAGTCCGTCAAGTGAGTAGCGTTGATTCGCTTGGGTTGTTAAGGATTCATTTTCGCTTTCCTGGTTTCCTGAAAAAAGGAATTTGTGTTATCTTTTATGTTACAATCTATTCGCCACATTGTTATTCCATATATTCCACACAGACATAAAACGACGACAGTCCCAGTTCCGAGTTTCTCGCCGAAAATTTTTGCTGTAACTGAAGACTCAGCAGCAACTTCGTGCACTTTGAAATAAGAAAGAAGCAATGATTATTACCTTCATCTGAAATGTCTAATAACCTCGAAAGTGAGGAACGTGGCCCGCGTTCTCTTTGAACGGCTGCAAATAAGAAAGATAAGAAGAAACGAATGTAGATATTCTAATCTGAAAACATCACCGTTCGAGTTCATCTTTAGCTTGAAGCACTTAGCCAATCGACATGATGGACACCAATTCCGACGTGCTTTGTCGATGACGCATTCGTTATGGCCTGCTGGAATCAAGTGTTTTTTTTTCATTCTGAAGAAAATATTGTACACAATAATCTTACTGGTTCCATCCGCTTCTAAAAGAGAGTCACCGCAAAACAATGCAATCTCATTGCCCTTCTCACTGCGTTGTTGTTTCCGCTCCCTTTCATTTCGTTATAAGATAGAAGCGAAGAATGATTTAACAATAACCAACAAACCATTTACGTCAGCATTTAAGGTAAACCCGGCCAAGATTATGAAGTTATAATGGTTCCTAACTTTTACTTGTTTCATAATATATCGCTAATAGCGTTTCTACTTCTTACTTACTTCTTACTGTCCTTCTTACTTGTCGCTATAATACGCAGAAGACTCCTTACCGTTTTAGCAACCTTCAACATTTAACGTATTAAGTATTTTTCGAGCAGTGGGTCTACATTCTTTTCAACACAGTTTGCATATACTAGCACTAAAATCCAGCTTTGATTAAGGATAATTTTACATAATTCTTCCACAGCAAGGCCGGCGTTTCAGTGATTTGTGATAAGTTTACGCAAGTTCGATAGTACTCGACGACCTAAGAAGTTGAAACAAACTTATAGAGCAGACTGCTATTCATGACGTGAAATGTTTGCCTAGTTTTTCTAGCGTATTAGTTTCGCTTGAATTCGTCGACTATGACTTGATGATTTGATCACGATGTTAACGTAGCCGAATGATTTTCAAGCGTGTCGGATTTTGACGCACAGCGGTGGTGCACCGCCGAGCAGAACAAAAAGAATTCGGGCTCTGTAATGAAGGCTTAGCAGAGAGTAAACAAACGCTATAAAAAAACGAGGAGAGCTACAGGTGATTGTATGCTCGTTGAGGACAGCAGAAAAGGTGTAATACAAAAAAATGTGATCGCTCTCGTGAGTCTTCGCTGAGTAAGTTGTGCTGAATGGGTAGCTCTGTAGAATTTCAGAGAAAAAACACAGAGTAGTACAGTTCTTCCAGAGCGAGTTATTCGAAAGTTTACGGTATCTAACGTATGAAAATTCTTGCTTAAAAAGCAACATTCTCAAAGTTCAAGAAGACATTTGGTAGCACTGACTGTTCCGGAAGAAACCTTTTTGCTTCAGCTCATTGTTTCAGTGTTCGAAATACGACTCTTAATAAAAAGAAGTGGCAGTCCGGGCTTCTGTACTTTGGAAGCGCATTATGATGAAAGAAGCAAACTCTCGTACTATTAGAAAAGCATGGGACAGTCTGACGCGTCTCTTTGTGTCTAACAGAATTCTTGCTCCAGAGTAGAAAGCCAAAGAATTTTCATGCAGCTCCGAATTTCCTTCTGTCACTTGCAATGCCACTTATCGTTTACTCTATGTAGCCACCAGATGCGCAAGATGGGCCTCCCGTAACACAACTAGTAGCTCTTAGAATTTGACACAGTTGAAACTTGAATGGCCCGTCCTCACTAGCTGTGTGGGCCTCAGCATAATCTCCATTTTTCGGAGAATTGCTGGTTAAGCCATTGTGTTTCCCTGGAATCCCGGTGTCAGCTTGGCCAAAGTCTGCCTCAGGTCTTCACCACCACAGGCAGTCGCAGCCCTTGTGGAACAGAGGGAGATTTGCCACCATACGACATTGATACCAGAACGGTGGTGGATCTTGGTATTGGTTTACTCTTAGCTAGGCTTCCTGATGGAAACACCGGACTCATTCTCAACTTGGGAGACCCTGTCGTGGGGACGAATCCTCCCGCTATACATCGCAGTCCGACACCCAGAAACACCTCCCAGCCACGATGAGGTGGTAAACAGTTGAGAGGCTTTTAGGATTATTACTCAGCAATTTATTATTTTCCTAGGTGCCCAAAATTCCTTATAGATAACCAAATATCCGAAAAGAATATGTGAAGGTATTTTCTCAGATCAAGAAAAGATTCAAACCCTTAAAGGCTCTGACATGGAACTGGGTGACCTGTATGCCATGGTTGTGAATGGAAACCTCTGTGTTTGCATGAGGCATAATACTCCAAAGTTTCACGACATGATATTCACATAGTTCTAATAGTCCAAAAAAGATGCTGAAGGAAACAAATTTTGACTGCACGTTACCTATATCTTTGCAAAAATTCGCTTACATGTGCAAGTGTAGGCAATGTTCTTTCGAACACTTCGCTTAAAAAAACAGCTACATCCATCACAAGTCCATTGACCATAGTGTTTTCCATATGAGCGATCACCACACACTTGGCATGGCACCGCGGTTACCGGATTTCGACCTGAAATCTCATATCTTCACTAAGTTTAGAAGTTTCCGGTGTTTCGACTGTCGCAAGAATTTGCTCCAAAAGATCCAGCCAGCAAGGTTTTAGAAGAGTTAGGAAAATGAAATGTAAGCAGTCACTGCCAATCGCATCCTACGCTCTATTTTGTTGAGTTTACAGTGTAAATTAAGCATGTTGAATTTCAGTTAATAGTTAAATACAAATAAAAAACAAAGGAACAGTGACAGATTGGAATAAGCGGAATGTTCTGCTAACGGAAATTATGCTAACTTAAGTTGAATCCTAGGTCGCTCCTTTAAACTGCTTTCCATAACTTATCTTGAAGAAAAATGTAAAGTAAACACTGAAATGTATAAAAAATTTGGTCATCAGAGCTATCCGCAAGACACTAGGTGAACTTGATATTATAGAAATAGGCGCAATTTCATTTATTAGTTCTCCTAGTTTCGCAGAGTTCTTATTTGAAATCTAAGTCATGATTTATCCTATGAGTTAGCCCCATCCAGAAAACTGCAAACAGATCTTACAGGTCGTAAGGAGTCTAGTAAATTCTGCACTTACCCATATTTGATCGCTAGACTAGAATTGATGTGGCACCGTTGCCAATTATGATCCCGACATTTTATATCCTTAGAGCTAGGTAACCTAAGACGGCACCAATTTCGCTTATGGTAGCGTTGATTTTCGTCGAATCAAAATGCTAAACAAACAACATAGGTGATAGACGAATAAAGAACTTCGTACACAGGAAAAACTCACATAACAAAAAATGTTTCTGTTTGTAGCTCTTCTCAAAACAAGAGTAAACTTTCGCACTTTTCCTTAGGTGTAGCTTTCTAACGGTGGCCTTTGACGGAGTAACTGTATGAAGTTGGTCCTTAACAGTTAGAAATTGTTTTATTTTAACGCTGGAAAGTGCTTTCTAGTTAGAAGGTAACCGGTAGAATGAGGATGGCCTATTCTAGATACCTTTGCTTTCACAACTTTTCGGAAGAAAATGTGATACAACCGTTTTTTCAGCGCCGGCAGAACGGGGTACCCCGAATGTGGGAAAAAAACCATCAAGTGGAATCAGACAAGCTTTCACCATCTACTGTGCGAGTTTCTCGCATCCGTGTTTACTTATCGATCTTTGCCCGACATAACAACAAAGTTCATGCAAACATTAATAGGTCTTGTTCTTTTACGGAAAAGTACAGCATGTTCGACATAGTTATGAAATTTGTAACATCATGTTCGTATTTCTCAAATGGAGTTCGCTCAAGCTGTTCTCGTCAGACAAGACATATTCCTTCTCTTCCAGGCCATGGAACATATTCGTCACCACCATGTTGCTAAATTCAGTGGGCTTTCTTGCTGCAAGCTATACCATCCTTATCTGATCGACCTTTGCAATAACAAAGCTTCTAAAATTTTATGTGATGCAATCCTTCGTCACTCTCGTTGCAAGCTTTGAATTCGCATCATCAGATTGTACAAATTGAGAAAAACTCTAGCATCTCTGCTAAAAGAAAATCTTAGATCTCTCTAGTAAAACTCCGACCACTTCATAAGAAACGTAGGCTATCATCAATCCATTCATTCAAAATCAATCCCTACAGTTTCCAACTTCCTCTCGCTTCGTTACTTCACTTATTAAAAACTAGTCGATATATTTATTTATATGATCCTCTTAAGCTGACGCGAAGTTGGTACAGGTCTTCGTTGTCGTTGTCGTTGTTGTTGATGTTGTTGGTCGATGGCTGACCTTTCGGCGACTTCACCTTCCTCAGAGCCATGATGTTACGTGTTTTGAAAACAAAGCTCAATACCATAACAATATTGCCTAAAGCTCAAAAGACCGACTTTCTATAAACCTCGGCATAAATAGCTGCTATATTTATTTATATGATCTTATCAACTGATCTTGTTGAACTGATGCGAGGTTGATAGGTTTTCGTTGCAGTTGTTGTTGTTGTTGTTGTTGTTGTTGTTGTTGTTGTTGTTGTTGTTGTTGTTGTTGTTGTTGTTGTTGGTGGTGGTGGTGGTGGTGGTGGTGGTGGTGGTGGTGGTGGTGTCGTTGTCGTTGCCGCTGTCGTTGCTGTTGGACTAAGTCCCACTCGTAACACCACGGCTCTGAGGAAGGCGAAATCTCCGAAACGTCAGCCATCGACAGACAACACCAAGACTAACGGCAACGAAAACCTATACGAACCTCGCATCAACTCAACAACACCAGTTTATACTTGAACTTGATACTTGAACGGCCCGTCCTCACTAGTTGTGCGGACTCCAGCATAATCATCATTTTTCGGAGATTTCCTGATTAAGCCATTGTGGTTTCCTGGAATCCCAAGAACAGCCTGGCCAAAGTCTGACCCAGGTCTTCACCAGTACAGGCAGTCGCAGCCCTTGTCGATCAGAGGTAGATTTACCACCATGCGACTTCGATACCAGGACAGTGGTGGATCCTGGTATTGGTTTACCCTTAGCTAAGCTTCCTGATGGAACCACCGGACTCCTCAGCTTGGGAGACCCTGCCCGTGGGAACGAATCCTCCTGCTGTACATTGCAGTCCGACACCCGGGAACACCTCCCAGCCACGATGAGGCAGTAAACCGTTGGGAGGAGACCAGTTTATAAGAACATATAGATAAATATACCGTCTAAAACCTTAAAAAGTTAACAAGTTACTCTTCCACATAAATCGTGGCGTGCTGGGCAGTGTCAAAATCTTCTCATTGTTTTCGACTCTGTAAAAACGTCATTCTATTGAAAAAAATTCCTATTGACACCTTTTTTAACTGATCCCATCCTCGTTTAGGAAATAAGAACCTTCTCAGAACGATGTACAAACAGTAAGTTCCATAACTATCGTATTTCTACGTGTTTTTATTACCAGTCGTTCCCTCTCACCATAGGAGACCTCGGGTACACAACACTAAGTTCTACTGAAGGAAGTTGAGTGAAGAAGTTATCCAATGAGATGCCCTCCAAAGTAGCGAGCTCCATTTCCACCTCCTTAGTGAGTGGTTAAACCATCGTGAAGACGGATGTGCCGTCGATGTTCAGTAGTATTGGGATTCGCTCAGTAACGAGTATTTATTTCTCGTTGATGTGCCCACGATGGACGCTGCACCTACCCACGTCTTCCGGTTACTGATATGCCGACTCTTTCGAGCCGTTCCAAAAATTGGCTGGGAGGCGCCGCTTCCGGAGTTCGGTGGGTGAGCGATGTGAGCCATTCTCCTCACCCCTCCGGGGCCCTATTTTGCTGCAGCAGACCACGCCATTCCCAGATGAATGGTCGCTCGCGAACTGCATCGTGCGTCCACCGGCAAGTCCAAGGCGTATCGCGAGAGGGTTTGAGGGATCGAGTTTGCATTGTGCAAATCTCTTGGATTGAGTAGATGCATACAAAGGCATGGTCGCTTGCGTACTGAAAACAAATTGATACCCTCAAAACAGGTTGTTTTGATAAAATTCTGTTTAGAATGGCACTGCCAGCAATCAAACGGGAAGTATTTCCTAACCGAAACGACGTTTCTGAGGGACAATAGCGCGTTCGCTCCCCACCGCAGACATCTGGGTTCGGAGTTTTGCAAATATCTCAGCATTATAGAAGTTATATTTTGCAGCATACCCTGTCGTTAAAAAGAATAGGCAGTAAATAAAGAAAAGGTTAGGAATGTGATATTCATATTGTTATAGTCAAATATTTTCATTCTACTTTTTTTTATTTTGACCCGTCTCCATGTCTACTGTGCGAATCCCAGCACTTCTCATATTCGATTCGTTTCCTCGAATCCATTGTCCACGAAGATCTTCCAACTTCACGTGTGGCCTTGGCTGCAGCTTGAGGATTTTCATTACACTTTGAATGTCGTAGAATGCTGGTCGAGCAATTCTCCCTGAAGCCCTGAGATCGCCCGACTGGAGCGTTCCCAACTGGATTGCAGAGTGATTTTTTTCTCAGACAAGTCCAGTACCAATTTTCCGGCCCCGGAGGGATTGGGATGGGAGACTTGGTTGGCCCCGAGCGGGATCGAACTAGAACCATGCTCGTGCTGACGGGCATCACTACCACTGTGCTATCTGCCTCCAACTTGAGCCGAAGGTAGTTAAATATATGTTACATTTTATCAGGATGAAGTGTTGTGGTCCCACGCAGAAGTATGTTCATGAAAACTACAGAAAAACAATGCGTTTGCGAAGCAAAATCCTCGTGCTTTTAACAAAATATCTGGTGTCTTATTGCTTACAGAATCACTTGCCGTTGAACTTCATCGAAACGAAGAAGTTATCTGGTTCTTCAGAGAAGTGCTCGCAATGGAAAGAGAGTGCTCAGCCGCGACCCACGAGATTCATGGACTGCGAACCACTTGCCACGTTTAGTAATTTGTTAACTGAAAAGCACATGGTTTACAGATTGGTTGACAGTTATTTGTTTTGTCTGGTGAAATACTGAGTGTTGGATAACGAAACCCATATATGTCTGTAGCAGCTCATGGATAGCCTTGCATATGCCTCAGAGGAAATACTATTGACGGAACGGCCAGATTGATTAGAGAGGAATTCCTTAGCACTAACACCCTATTTTCCACTATACTATGAGATACGCAACAGATATTTTCTCCTCTTCAGGGGCATTTCAAAGATTATCAGACCTTAATTTGCATCGTCAAAGAATCTCAAGCAGGGTTTTGTTCTATATCAGCCCGTTTCGGTGATGGTCAATTTCTGAAGTACGATACCCACAATCCATAGAGGAATGGACCCATTTATTCCATTACAAAACTACGCGCTGACAACGTCCGTAACCACAGCACATTTCTCTTGTAACTGCAGAGTAGTTCGAAACTTTAAAGTTTATTGATCTGTGCTTAAATACGGTGGAAAATTCGACGTCAGAGATGGGATCGCCATTTTCGCTCAATGGACGGCTACCCTTCGATCCGACCTAAACATTTGGTTCATTAACTGAGTATGGTTTGCCTAATCATATCTGGTTTGTTT